CCACTGCGAAGAGGGGAGTCCGTGTACAGCGCCCAATCACCCCACGCGGAACCGGTGAGTCCGTCCTGGAACAACCTGAATGAGTACATCATGGACAAGCAGACAGTATGCAAGGTCCCATAAAGTACTTGCTAATGCCATAAGATGGCCCAGCACTACTAAGAGCACATCGCTTTGAAACGGGATTGGGCGATTCTTAATCCTTACAGCAACCCTCGCAGAACCCTTATATGGTAACCCCTACCTATAGGAATCATATTCCTTATAATAGCAGCCCTTGCGGAACACTTATGATTACCCTTATACTAGTAGCCAAGTTGCATACCGATGATGGCCATCATAGCCAAGCGCCCGTTCGCCAGCTCCGCCGACAACTTTTTCTTGCGCGCCTATGGCTGTCTTACATTACCGAGAAGGGCGTTGAGGGTGTCTGTCTCGTATACCTACAGAGCATGGGTGAGGTTGGGTTTTCACTAGCTTGCGTTTATGTGACCTTCCGGTCCCTACAGCGTCTTAACGTGAGCGGAGGGGGGTACCATACTCAACTATGCTCGAACGCAGAGGGTACCAAAAAGGAACAAGGTTGCCTCATCATCCTAATTACATGTGCAGGCTCTGTATGTGGGAACTATGAACCTTCGGGGCTGTACAAGAATCGTAATGGCCGCAAAGGGTCAACGGGTACGTGCTCTCCTGCTACGAGTACTGGGTTCTGGCGTTGGAACTTGTTGAAACCTGACATCTGTGATACATCCCTGGTATATAGCTACTTAAACTACTGAAAAAGATCCCCATCATCAACAACACATAACATGTCATACCACCCCTTGGATAAATAATGGTGACATGCCCTTGCTCTGGTCAGCACCGAAAAACCCTGAACCATTGTTCCTCCTACGATAGGGGCCAAATGTGTAGAATGGGGCTTAGGGAACTATACTCTAATCATAGCATTAAACCCTAAACCCCCAACCCTGGTATCATATACATCATAACCCTAAACCCTAAACCGTGGTATCATGTACATCAGAACATCAAACCCTAAACCCTAAACCCTGGTATCATCTACATCATCCCTAAAACAAAAGGACCCTAAAAGGGACCCTGATTTAGAGAACTACCCATATGGGTGGTTGTCAAAATTATGGTCCCTTTTTGGGTCCTTATTTTAGTACGGCACCTATTATTTAGGGTACCCCAAAAAGGGACCCTGATTTAGAGAACTACCCATATACATCAGAGCAGTCTTCCCAAGAGCCCG